TGATTGCTCCCGGCCTGTCGTGCTGCTGCCCCTACTGGAGCCCCAGTTAACCTTCCCCCTGCCTGGTGGACTGGCACTGTGTCCGGCGGGAGGGTAGGGAGGGTGCCCACTTCTGCCAGCCCCACGTAGCCCATGGGCTGGGCTTGGCATTTGCTCAGGCCTCAGCCCTCCCAGCCTGGCCCCATTTCCTCCTCTGTCCCTACCTGAATGAGCCTGGGCCAGCTGCCCCAGGGCCATTTTGAAACCCTGAAAGCCTCTCAAGATTAAAAGACCCCCCCCATTTACTGAGGCCCTGCTGAGCACCTCCTAATTGCTTTGCAGAGGTAAGGATCCACGCCCACTTCACACATGGGACAAGTCCCGAGTCACCCAGGTAGTTACCCGCGTACTTCTGCGCCTGGTACTGTGGGTTTCACGGGATGGACCAGAGTCCACGCGGCCGCCGCAGGGCCAAGCCTGCCTTTTCTTGGCCTTGGAGAGAAATTAAATTTGCAGGTGCTGGCTGCTCTGTTTTGAATTTTTCTCCTTTAGTTTTTTCTTCATTCTGCTCCCCTGACCTTTGTCACAACCTGTGATCATTTCTGGGGAAGTGAAATTGGAGGCAAAAGTACTAAAGAGCTTTTGAGCTTTTCAAAAGTGACAGGAGTAGGAACCTAAAAATAGATCTTTTAAAATAATGAACAGAAAAACAGATACTTTCAAAATGAGCAGAGAGGCGGGGAGCTGTTCTGTCTTCAGCTGTGTCCCAGCCAAGACAGAACCCTAGCCCGCCCTGGCCTGATGCTGCCGGACATCCTCCCAGTTAGCCTCTGCTCCAAAATGCAGGCCTTCAAGTCCAGCCAGGATGGACACAGGCACAGGCCGGGACCTGGATGCAACATTAGCATCTGACCCTGTGGTGGGTGGGGCCACTCAGCAGTCACGTGGCCCTGGAAGGGGCCCTCTCTTCCGGGTCCCCACCTGCTGCTCTGTAGGAGTGAGGAGGGATCCTGGGCTCCCACCCCAGAGAGGAGCACAGAAGAGGTGAGGTGTGGGAGCCCTTGCTCAGTGCCTAGCATGCAGTAGGTGCTCAGTAAACGCATGCTCACTGGGATGTTGCTCTGACTGCCACGCTGTGTGGCAAATGATGTGCAGCTTCCTTTGGGCATTGAATTGGGCCCACTGTGCTGCTTGGTGGCAGGCATGAGGTGGCACCAGGCTGTCCCGCAGCTCAGCCACCCCTGGGTTTCCTTGCAGAGCAAAAATGCACCTCACAGCCAGGGTGAGTATGACGTGTACAGCACCTTCCAGAGCCATGAGCCTGAGTTCGACTATCTCAAGAGCCTGGAGATAGAAGAGAAGATCAACAAGATCAAATGGCTTCCTCAGCAGAATGCAGCCCACTCGCTGCTGTCCACCAACGGTGAGCCTGGGACCGGGTCCCCGGAAGCCGAGTGTTTCTGTCTTTAGACCCTAACATGTGATGTTCAGAGCAGCCTGGAGAAACCAGGCTGGAATTTGCTATTTGCCCTGGCCGGACTGGGTCATCCCCAGTATTGTGAACAGTGCTGGCTTTGGGGTGCAGGGGGCCCAGGTCAGGAAACCCAGCGACCGCTGGACACACTGAATTCTTCAATCACTGTTGGAATGCGAGACCCGCAGATCAGGGCCCCTCATGGTGGGGGCAGGAGGGCAGAGGGAGCAGTGTGGGGTAAGAGGGCCCCACCTCACAGAGGACACGACCCTCACCCCATGGGCTCTGCCACAGATGCAGGTCGCACCCCGCTTTCAGCCTCCGAGCTTTAGCGGCTCTCTCTGGGGCGGGGGCGGTGATGCTTGCCCAGGGCCTGCAGATGGCAGGTGCTGCCGAGCCCCATGTGAGCTGCAGAGCACTGTCCCCGGGCCAGGTCACCCTCAGCACCTCGTCCCGTCCGGAGCCCTGGCTGTCCCATATCCCCACTGTGGGAGCCCCGCCCATAGCCACCCGGCCCTGTGCTCAGGGCCCAACCTCAGGCCAGGGCCCCACTGTGCCCTTCTCCTCGCTGATTCCTTCTTCTGGCCAAGCTGGTTTATTCTGGGTGCTCCACTAGGCGGGGTTCCACCAAATGAAGGAAGATCACCTGCTTTGCTGACTTAACTTTTAACCTTATCTAAGAATCTCTCAGCAGGGCCTGAGGCCTGTTTAACCGGGTAGCTGGGTGCCATGGTATAGCCAAGGTGACACCCAGAATTAACCATCACAGCTCTGGAGCTTCCCCCGTGATGTGGAGTCCAGGGAAGTGGGGCTCCCAGTAGCTGGCTGCTGGTCGGCAGGTGCTGCTCCTGCAAGAAGAGCCGATGAGTCACTTTGTCAGTGAAGGACTTCAAAGACAAGGACAGTGCAGACTATAACCCAGCACTCTGGGAAGCTGAGGCAGGAGGATCCAAAGCTTGGGCCCAGAGTGGGAAATTTAGGGACTTAGTGAGACCCCATCTCAAAATTATAAATGAGTGAACCAATGACTGAACGGGGTTGTAGCTTAGTGCAAAGGCCCAGTACCCCCAAAACAGAGTAGGGAAGTACAGTGATCCTGCGTCTGGAAATCAGCCTAGGAGTTGATGGATAGTGGCCCTGGAAAGCCGTGCTGCCCTTAGGGTCAGCAACAAGGAGGGAGCAGCATGGGACAGGCACCGGGCGCGGTGGCAGCGGGCACACTGTCTGGGAACAGGGTGATGTCACGTGGCCCTGGATCTCCACGTCTGTGTGCGGCCGTCTGCAGTGGGGACCCGTCCTCTGGCCTGCTGGTGGGTCATGTGTCTGCTTTGTCCGTTCTGTCCTTAAGATAAAACCATCAAGTTATGGAAGGTCACCGAGCGGGATAAAAGGCCCGAGGGCTACAACCTGAAGGACGAGGAGGGGAAGCTGAAGGACCTGTCCACGGTGACGTCGCTGCAGGTACGCCGGCGCGAGTCCCGGGACGCGAGGGTCTTCAGGTGAGGCAGGGCAGTCCCGTGTCCCGGCTGGGCCGCATCCGAGTTCTTCCTCTGCTGTGCCTAGGTTTCTCACCAGCGAGATCCTCCCTTCTCAGGAAGGACGCGCAGGTGCCACGTTGCCCTCTGGAGACCAAGCAGGTGCCCGTGGAGCCCCCAGCATGTCACCAGCAGGCAGCAGGGATCCGTGCTGTCCCTGAGGAGAAGGCAATGGCCTCTAATGACCAGCAGATTGCACAAATAAGCCCAGTGGGCCCAGGGAAGCCAGGTCACTTCCGTGTTGGCAGTGGGGGTGGTGATCTCCACCCCTGCACCCCCAGCCGAGGGAGTTTTCTCAGTGTCACCTGCATCCCAAGACGCTTAAGTACAGACAGGCTGGAGAAGGAGTGCAGCTTGGGTGTTGTTTGGAACTTGTTAGGGTTCTCCAGAGGAGCAGAGTCCACAGGGTGTAGACCAGTATGCAAGGGCCTAAGGGGATTAATTAGCGCAGCTCACAGGAGGAGTGGCAGTGTCCGCAGTGGACAGAGGAGGAGCCACTCAGCCTGAGAAGCTGAAGCCGCGGGACGAGAGGGGCTGAGGAGGCAGTGCCAGTCCGAGGCCGCTGGTCCGGAAGCTCCCTAGGGAGCCGCTGGTGTGCGTCTGCCTTGCAAATCTGGAGAAGGCCACAGCAGCAAAAGATGCCCAGGCTCCCACAGAAGGGAGCTCTTCTAGGTCAGGCCAACTTCCTCCTCCCCATTTCATCCGGCTGTGAGTCTATTGGGTGGAGCCACGCCCATCAGGGTGGGCCCTCGCCCTCATTTGCTAGCCCACATGCCAGTCATCTCTGGAAACACCCACACATCCACCCAGAAGCTGCTCTGTAGCCACCTAGGCTGTCCTATCCTGGTCAAGTTGACATTGTGGTTAACCAGTGCAGGTGACCTGGTCTTGCTTTGTCTTGCCTCTGATCTCATCTCATTTGCTCATTTTGCTGAAGTCCCCTGGATCATACCTGGCTTTTTGCCTATCTGAGTCATGATGGGGGAGCCAGCGTGTACTGAGTAGCTGCTGTGTGCAAGGCTGTGTTAGGGCCCAGAGCCCCAGAGATGAATCCAAGACTCAGACCCTTCCCTTAAAGTGTCCCAGGCCCCAACCAAGGAGACAATCACAGAATCACTGTCACACTGGTATTCGGTGCTGTGGCAGAGAGACACACACGGCTTTGAGTGCTCAGAAGGCCTTTCTCCACCTTCTCTATTTGGTGAACTCCTATTCATCCTTGAAAACCCTGACAGCCCTCACCTCTGGAAAGCCTTTTCTACACAAGCCAGAAGAAAACTATTGTCCTTCCTGTGCCCACTCTAACCTTTTGTATCCCACACCATTCTGTCCTCAGTGCTGGTGTTCTTCTTCCTGCCCATCACCCTGACCAGACTGTGACTGAATACGGGGAGGCTGTTTAGTTCCTGACACTCCCAAACCTTCAGGGCAGGCTTCTTTTCACTCTTCCCGTCCCTTATTTATTTATTTTAACTTTCAAAATGTCCCCTTTTGTTTAAATGGCCTTGGAGACTGGTTTGGAGGATGGCCGTGCCAGGAGGAAGCTCTGTGGCCCGAGGAGGGGAGACAACAGGACTTTGCCAGGCGGGATGCCCTGAGCCCATGCTCCAGAGAATCCAGACTTCCTGTCTCTCATACCTGAGGGTCTGCAGGGAGGGAGGTGGCCATGCCTGAGGGCAGGGACAGTTCAGAGCAGACCTGGAATATATGACAGGCGGGGACCAGCACAGGGAGACACGGGGACATAGACTCCCAGGTGTGCGGGGTGGATGTGTAAACCCAGGCAGAACACCAGAACCGCCAGAGCCAGGAGGGCTCAGGGGTCCCAGTGTGTTAGAACACAGGCTGTCCCCAGGCCCGGGGACACAGCCCACTGCCCATTCGTCCAGTCACTATAGCACACTTAGCGCAGCGCGTCTCCATGCAGGAGAGGTGGGTAAACAAAGGCCGACACATCACACCTGGGAGCATGGGACAGCTGCACCCTGACAGGACCCTGGGGTGTGAGAGCTGGACCCTTGGCTTGGCTTGCATGTAGGATGGCTCAGGTTCTGTTTCCTCCACATCTGGTCCAGCCAGGCCTGGGGAGAGATGGACGAGGTCCCATCTGTCTGTCTGGGCACCTCTGCAGCCCCCAGGGTTGAGCAGGCTGTGCCCAACACACACTGTAGTGCCTGCCGAGGGCCGCACAAGATGGAGGAGTCTCGGGGCACCTGTGACCTCAGGGTGAGTGCTGCAAGCACAGGGTACAGAGGAAGCAGAGGCCGAGGTCCGATGTCACTGCAGGCACCACCAGCTCCAGCTGTTATGACCCACAACCCAGCAGCACCCCATGGCTTTGGACAGAAATGTGTTTCTCATGGTGGAAAGGTCCAGCATGGGTGCCCCCGTTTGGCTGCCGCTCTCTACAGGCTTCTTCCACCCTTTCCCCCAAGGCTGGAGTCTTCATCTTCCACGTGGAAAAACCACTGCTTAACCAGCAGCTCACAGCACATGTGACACTTTGCTCATATCTCATTGGTCAGAACCAGTCATATGCCCACACTCAGATGCAAGGGATCTTGGGAAATGTAGTCCCCATCTGGGTAGCTTCTTCCAGTCTAATCATTGTGGGATGGAGATGCAGGGTTTGCTGGGCATTTGGCTCGTTCTGCTGTGTTACTTTTCCATTTTACAGAAGGGGAAATTGGGAGCAGGGGGCTTCAGCCACCCATTCATAGCCACACAGTAGATAAGTGTCTGGGCTGTGCTCAGGGTCGATCCCAGGTTCTGCCAGGGTAGAGTGGGCAGCTTTTCCTGCAGGGCAGGGCCGGGCCGGGCAGGCGAGGGATGTTTATCATCCATCCCTGCAGCACCGAGATGGACGTCTGCCCGAGTGGTGCAGCCTTTCTTTAGGTCATGTGCCTGCCGTACCCTGTCACCCTCCCAGTCCCTTGCTGCCCATCTCTGTCCTCGCTCCCTCCACAGGTGCCGGTGCTGAAGCCCATGGACCTGATGGTGGAGGTGAGCCCTCGGAGGATCTTTGCCAATGGCCACACCTACCACATCAACTCCATCTCCGTCAACAGCGACTGCGAGACCTACATGTCGGCGGATGACCTCCGCATCAACCTCTGGCATCTGGCAGTCACCGACAGGAGCTTTAGTACCCTTGGCTTGGGGGAGGTTGGCCTCGGGCTGGCGGGTGGGACTTCCACACTGTTTCAGGCCTTCATCCAGGATCCTTCCGGTTAGCGTAGGTGAGGCCCAGATGTGGAATTATGTGTTGTCTACCTAGGAAAGCTTAGCAGTTGTGGCTGCTGGGGGTCACGCCTAAGCTGGGTTCCTGTCACCCTGGCCCTACAGAGACCATGCAGGAGGGAAAGAGCCCAAGGGTCCATCCCCATGGGGGAGGGACAGCTGGCCCAAGGACAACTCCTTTGTTGTCCCCTCCTCTGGGCCCGGGGCAGCCTGCACCTGAGGTGGGTGGGTGGCATTGGGGTCCTGCCCAGGACTTAGAGGGGCTCTGGGGGGGTGTCTCTGTTTAGTGTCCCTGTTTGAAGCTAAGTCTGGGCCAAGCACATTGACTGATTCCCATCAGACAGTGAGGACAGGTGGCTGACATGGGCCCTGGCTGGGGGAGGACAGGCCGCACAGACATCCGGTGCTGATGCCACGCTTGGTAGTACCTGTTAATTTTGTGTTGGGTGACCTGCACTGCCCCAGGAGGTGACAGCGTTGTGAGCTCACAGCCACATAGCTGGAATTCAGATCCAGCCTGTGTGGGGAACGCCTGCCCACCCAGGAGTGTGGCTGAGGTGGGGACCCAGCCCCTGGTGTCCTTGACCTCTGCACCCATCCCAGTCCCTCGCCGTGGTGAGAGGAGGGTGGAAGAGAACTGAGCGCCAGGAGGCTCCAGGAGCAGTGGGGAGTAAAGGCCCAGCTCTAGTGGGGTGGGCAGCATCGGGCTGCAGAGCCTGAGTCCCGCAAGTCCTGCCTGTCAGAGCTCGGTTACTTGGGGCTTTTCTGTTGCATGGTCAGGCCCCTCACTGGGACTGCTCAAGGTGAATGTGGGTATTCACGGGTCTTTGTAATCATAAGAGAGCTTCAGGCATGGGCAGATCCAGGGGCTCAAATGGTGTCCTGGGGTGGTACTCCCTGCTTGTTGCCTCTGGTCTGCACCCTGATTTGTCTTGGGCTCCGTATGGTGGTATTTGTGTGCTAGCAGCCTGGCTCCATCCCAGAAGGACCCTCGAGGGCACCCCATTGGCTCTGTCTGGGGCTGGCTTCCTCTGAACTAATCACTGTTGAGGAAGGAGAATGTCCCGCTCTGGTTGGCCAGGCAGGACTCACAGCTGTGCTCTGCAGTTAGGCAGAGGGCCTTGGAGGTGGGCTCACCAGCCGATCCTGCTGCCGAGTCTGAGGTTGTTCATCAGCTTCCCAGCAGAATAACACGAGGAAGATGAAATGCAGAGACCCCAGGTCTGCAAATGGGGGAGATGGGACCCACAGAGCGTCCTGGATAGGACTCTGCAGTTTCCAGAGTCCCTGCTGTTCCTTCTCTCAGCGGGCTCCAAGGCAGGGCGTCCGGCAGCAGGGACGGCAGGGAGCAGCTGAGCAAGGGACTCGTTCCGGGCCGTGCCCAGTGATGAGGCTCTGACCTGTCCACCTCCATCAGCACACTCAGCTGTAAGCTCCCCAGGTGGACGAATCCCCAGATGAGTGATGGGGACCTCCCAAAGCGCCCCCCTGTGCACGTAGGAGGCTGGGGGGACTCGTGGGAGTGTGGAGGGGTGATAAGCCCATCGTTGAGAGGGGGCCAAGGCCGGCCTGGCCAATGTGCGCGCTGTGGGACCCCTGGGGCAGGGGCTCTGACGTATCTTCGTCTGAGGAACCCTTCCAACCATTGCACCTCCACTCGCCATTTGTGTTTTCTCTTTTACTAATTCTCTTTAAATCAGGTTGCTAAATTTTTGTGTAAGTCACTGACTTTTGAAAGGGAATTAGCTTCACTATTATACATTAAAACATATCCCATGAGCCAGCTGTGGTGGTGCTCACCTGTAACCCCACTCAGGAGGCTGAGGCGGGAGGATCACTGTGAGTTCAAGCCCAGCCTGAACTGCATAGGGAGGACCCTGTCTCCAAAACTAACGAAATAAAGCATACCATGTACCATAAACAGGAAGTAGCTATAAAGAGAAATACCATGAAAGCGTGTGTAATGTTTATATTTAACAAAGGAATCGAGCCACACACTCCGTGGCAGAATGCAGGATGTTCCGGTCCAAGCTGGAACCTGCTCGGAACCTGCTGTCTATGGGTGCGCCTTGAGCTCCTGAGCTGTGGCTGGGGCCAGACTGCCCCTGCATGTTTTGTTTGGTGCGTTTGCATTCGTTCAGACCTCAGGTTCCGCCGCCTTGTGGCTCTGGCAGCTGTGTCCTGAGCTTGCCCAGCCCACTGCCCCGTGCCAACAGCAGTCGGCTCCTGGTGCCACCTGACTCTTTCCGGGCCTCAGACTTGAGCTGGGCCTTGCCGCCTCTGTTGGCCCCTCCCCAGCATCTCCCCCTGAGCCTGCTGTCCCCTTGCCCGCCACCTGCCCCTGCCTCCCTGTGCCCCCCGGGGCTCCTTGGCCGACCCTGCTTGCACAGGTTTTGCTGCAGATGCAGCCGGCTCCACACTTTCTGCTGGATGCTCTGGGATTGGGAGCCCTGGTGCGGCCCCACGCAGGCCCTGTGCACAGTCGGGGCTCTGAGGGGCCATCGCTGGAGCAGGAGGAGACTTCAGGGTGGGACGTGTGCCATTTTCATGTGCTCCCAGGACATGGACATTCCCCATGGACGCCTGGGCTCCTGGTGGCTCCGACTACAGACCCCAAGGAGCCAAGGGTGTAGCCTTTGCTCTGGGCCTGGAGGTCTGGGCTCAAGCCTGTTGCTTTCCCTCCCCTGTTGTCAGCTTTCATGAACAAAACTTCCTTTCCTAGTGTTATTTGTTCTAGTTCTCTTGGCTGGTTTCCCTTTGATGGTACTGGGTATTGAACCCAGGGCCTTTGCCCTGGGTTGTGTCCCAGACCACTTTTTATTTTGAGGCAGGGTCTCACTGAGTTGCTCAGTTTGGGCTCACATTTGGAATCCTCTTGCCTCAGCCTTCCAGACGGCTGAGATTACAGCCATGTGCCACCATGACCAGCTCTCCTAAGGTTGTTTGTAGGGGGCAAATAAACTATTCACCGTCATGGCCCAGCTGCTCCTCAGGATCCGGCCACAAGCTGGTATTATTCTCTCTCAGACATCAAGCCCTCAGTAGTTAATGTGGGTGCTCATAAAGCCCCCACTTTTCTGCTCAGTGAAGTTCTGTTTCCCCACAGTGCAGCTCAACATCTGTTTGGAAAACCTCTTGCATCCTTTAATATCAACATTTTGAGACACTGCAGCTCCTGGCAGTTTTTCTAGAGCTCGGTGCCTCTTAAAGGTAACAAATAGCACAGGAGGCCGAGCTGATGGACCTTTGCTTTATTTTTAGCGCTCGAAGAATTTTAAAGATGGTTCCATTGATTTTTTCGCCCCCTGAGCGATTTCTCATGCTGGGAGCGAGCGGCTCAGCATGCCTTGGTCTGGGGTGGATTTGGAATTCGCACTCCTGGTGCAGGTCCTGAGGCAGGCTGGAGGGAGGGGACCCAGAAAGGGGTGGGCAGCCCGTGGGATCAGGCCATTGTGGTAGTGTTTCTGCCCAGATGCCTGCAGACATGTAGTCAGTCCTTTTCCATCCGTAAGGTGGCAGGGAAGATGGCAGAGCTGGGCCGCTGGCTGGGCAGCCCCTCTGCAGGCTGAGGGCTTCCGGCTCGGCCGCTGTCCTTGGTGCTGACCCCATCCATGCCTGTGGCACCTCCTTCCCGCTGTGGGCCCTCACTGGGCACTTCCTGTGTCTCCCCTCTGACCGAGGAGGAAACAGCCACCCCAAGGCTGGTGATCTGACCCAAGTCCGTGGCTGGGTGGAGCCAGCCGGGGCTCTCGGGGACTGTCAGGATGCAGAAGCCACGCACCCTGGACTGTCACACCGGTCCACCTCTGTCACACGCTTGCCGGCTTCCTGGCCTGAGCCTGGCTGCGCCTGCGAGGAGTGCATCGTGTTTAACTTTCCTGCAGCTTGCAGAGGAGGCACTGCTCTCCCCATTTTACAGAGGGGAGACAGCTCTGAGGGGCAGGTCCCCTGCACACGTTCTGCACCCCGCTCCCTGGGATTGCCTGGCTTCCTCCATGGGGAATATTTCCTGGTGCTCATTAGAGCCCCTGAGGAGCAGGAGCTGCTCACACCATTACGGACAGAGGGGAGACTGACATGTGAGTCATGAGGAATGTGCTCTCTTCCTTCTCCATGACGGGCGCTGCTACCCCAGCCTCACTGCAGAATCCCCACCTCCCTCCTTTGCTTCTCACCCTGGGCACTCGCTGAGCCTCTTCCAATCTTTATTTTGAGACAGGGTCCCACTAAGTTGCCCAGCCTGGACTCAAAACTTGAGATCTTTCTGCCTCAGCCTCCCAGAGTGCTGGGGTTACAGGTGTGTGCCGCCACACCTGGCTAGGCCGCAGCTCTTAGAACCCAGGGCACACCATTTAGCAGGTACTCCTGGGCCTTCTGGGGGTGGTGGCATTGCACATTTTGTAACCTGCTCAGTTTCATGGATCCCCCACTCCCCAGCGGGAGAGAAAGCCCGGTTTTGATTCTGGTCTAGCCAACCTGAGTTACTCACCTTCAACCCGGTGCTAGCCCATTGTCAGATGTCCTTCTGTTAGTGCTCACCACGGCCTGAGGGCGGAAGTGACCACCACATTCCAGAGACAGGAGGTCAGAGTGCAGAGGCTGAGGATGGGAAACATCACGCAGCCGCGGTGGTGTGGCTGCACTCTCAGGCCCTGCTCTCTGTCCCCCGAATTCAGCGCCTGAGTGCCTCCTCATCCCAGCTGGGGGTCTGCTTGCTGGGTGTGTAGGGGTCACAGAGCTGATCTGCCACCCAGAGAGAGCAGGCAGCGGCTTGTGCAGTGAGCCCTCTCCCACCTCCCAAAATGAGGGTCCTGCTCCCCAAGAGGAGCTGCCCCAGCCCAGTCCAGAAGGTGCTCTGTGCAGAGGCGAGAGGAGCGGTCACACCCTGAACTGTCCCCTCCAGTGACGCCAGGGCCTCCGCATGAGATCGTCCAGAGGCCAGGCATGGAGGAATTGTCAGGCCACAGTCAGGCCACCGGGGTAGTGTCCTTAAAGAAGAAGAGGACACCAAGGGGAAGCCACGGGAGGACACGGGGAGCAGTGGCCACCTTAAAGCCCCGGGACGGAACTTGGGAGGAGCCAGCCCTGCCGCCACTTTGACCTTGAACTTCTGGACTCCGTAGCACTAGGGACTGAGATGAGAGCCTCTGTGCCCCAAGTCCCTGGCCAACCCCCGGGGGAGGCCTTGCATGGCGGGGCCCTCAGCAGGGCCGCCCCGTCCTTCCCACCAGCGGCTGCTCGGTTGCCGTGGGAACAGCCTGAGTGCAGCTCCAGAGAGACATCCGCATGAGCGGGCCATGGTCAGTGCCCAGCCTCAGCTGGCTGAGGGACTCAGGCCAGCATCCGGGCCCTGGGGTGCAGCGCTGTGGGGAGAGCTGGGTGCTGCAGAACAGGAGGTGGGGACCTCAGGAGGGTGTTGTGCCAGCACCCTCTGCCAGAGTGTCATGGAGCCCTGAGCACGTCGCTACCAGCCCAGGGGTCCACTCCTGCCTGGAAGGCTTCTGTGCTGGGCACCAGTTGGGTGGCTGCCGGGCCTGGGAGCTCGGTTCATCCCATGTCTGCAGCCCAGCCTGTCCTGCCTGGCATCTCCATGAGCTGCTGGACGTGGGCGGCCTTGCTGCACCACTTGGGCATTTTTGGGGCACTTCCCACCTTGGCCTCTCCCTCAGGCTCCTTGCGGGGATGAGCAGGGTGGCTCTGGCCCGAGAAGTGGCAGGGACGCAGAGCTCGGCCCCGTGCAGCTCATAGGCGGGGCTGTCCCGAGGGTGAGTGTGGAGGGCCCTCATCTCCGATGTTTCTCAGCTCTGGAAACGCCTGTGCGGGTGTTGCCTGGCTGGGCCAGGAGATCCAGCCCTTGGCCTCGGGACTAAGGAGCACCTACAAAAACTGCAACCTGAGGACTGCAGGTGCAGACCACGTTTCCTGTGTCCTTGGCGGGAAGGACCGGTACTTTGCCCTTGGGCCGAGCACCCTGTCCCCTCACTTCTGAGTTTTGTCAGCTCCCCCGGCACAGGCTCTGCCCCCACCTGTCACCTGGCTCCCCCACCCCAGCTGATGGGAACCGCAGCCCCACCTGACCCTCGGGGCTGCTGCTGCTCCAGCCATCCCTTCCTCTCCCGGCTCCGAGGGCTGTCACCATTCCTTGTGGCTGTGGCCCTCAGTCCCTGCCTCCGCCTCCCGGTGGCCACCCCCTTGGTATCTGCCTCACTTAGATTGGGGCCACCGAGGGAGATTCATCTCAAGCCCCCGACAGTATTCCATCTGCACAGACCCCGTTCCCACTTAGGTCACGGTCATTTCTGGGGATGAGGTTTGTGAACATGTCTTTTGGGGGCCACACAGCCCCAGACACTGGCGAAAGTAATCCACACCGAGTCGAGGCATCTGGCACTTAGGGTGCCCTCCTCCCCTTCTGGCCCACCTCTCCCTTCTCTTCCCTCTCCTCTTCCCCTTGTGCCGGATCCTCTCGAGTGCCTGCTGGGCCGCACAAACCTTTCTTGGAGGGAAAACAACTCTTAGCTGCCAAAGGGATTGGAAGCAACACAGTAGCCCCTTGGGCAGACGGACTTAGGTGGGAAAGTTGCCCACAAACGCCTCGTCTAGCCTTGGGGGTGCATGGGGCTCGTGATATGTTCAATTCCTCTCACTCCCAAGGGAAGCCGGTCCCAAGGTGACCTTGAACAGTACGGTGCGATGCTGTCAGCCCCAAAAGCTTCATTGCAGTTCGTGACACTGTTCAGCCCATTTCACAGATGAGAAGCTGAGGCAGAGAGCTGGGGCGTGGGGTCACACTGCAGACCTGGGACTCCGGGGCTCACCCACAGTGAGGGCACAGACCAGGCGTCTCTGGAAGCGGCTGGGGCAGAGCCGAGAGGGGACAGCCCTGGGTCACCCCCCAGGCAGGGAGGGAGGCAGTGGTGCTACAGGGACAGGGACAGGCTCAGGGGCCCTGGGGAGCCTGAGGCAGTGCAGCCCCAGGCCGGGTGAGTTTTCCTGGGGATCTGTGGTGCCCTCCTGCTTTCCTTGACCCCGCGCCCCAGACATTGTGGACATCAAGCCGGCCAACATGGAGGACCTCACGGAGGTGATCACGGCATCCGAGTTCCACCCCCACCACTGCAACCTCTTTGTCTACAGCAGCAGCAAGGGCTCCCTGCGGCTGTGCGACATGCGGGCGGCCGCACTGTGTGACAAGCACTCCAAGCGTAAGTGGCCCCTCAGGGTGGATGGTGGGCTGCGGCGTGGGCTCCCTGGTCTCGGCTGTGACCGCCCAGGCCGCGTCCTGCCCAGCCAGAGCTGCCTGGCTGCCAGGGTGCAGAAGTGCCACATCCTGGAAGTGCCCTTGATTCTGTGCCGGGTCAGATTCTGGCCCTGCTCCGCCCGTGGCACCCGTCTTCCCGCCTGCAGAGCTGGCCGTACCCAGGTTGGCTCACAGGCCTTCCTGCTCCTAAGTCCCGGGTGACCTGCTCACCCTAGGGCCCACCAGGGGGCATCTAGGGGTCTGGGTCCGAGGGACCCACAGCCAGCATCTCTGAGCCCTGTCCTGCTCTGACCTGTCCCTCGTGATGGGCCTAGCGGTGTGGTGACACTGGGCCTTCGGGACTCCTGTGGAGCAAGTCGCAGTGCCCGGTGACCCGAGGTCGGGTCCTGCCAGGGCCGGAGTTTGAGGTAAGCTTCTTGCACACATGTGCTCCATGGGCTTGGCCTCTCTTTTCCTGTTCTCTCTGTGCCCAATTTTATTATAGTGCTCGACTGGCCTGGCAAGCTGGGCAGCACACGCCTCCTTCTCTGGAAGTTGGCACGAGAAACCTGCCCAGTGGGTCTCAGCAGAGCTCACGTGTCAGTCTGTCCAGTGTTATTTTAAGGGAGAGTCGGGTTTTTTTTCAACAACCAGTTCAATTTCTTTTTGTGGAACTAGGGCTTGAACCCAGGGCTTCTGCCCTGAACCACACCCTGTCCCTTTTTATGTTGAAACAACTGAAACGCTACATTGTCCAGGCTGAGCTCAAATTGTGATCCTTCTGCCTCACCCTTCCAGATTGTTGGGATTAGAGGTGTGTACCACCGTAGCAAGATTCAATTTCCTTTTTGATTAATGTTTTCTGCATTTTTCTCAGCATTAATTCTCCATTTTAAAGTTCTCTAGAAGTTTTTGTTTTCAAGCTCAGTATCTTGCACAGAAATTCTCTCCTCTCTTTCCTCTCTTTCTCTCTTTCTCTCTCCCTCCCTTCCTCCCTCTCTCCCTTTCTCTTGAGGATTAAACCCAGGGCCTCACACATGCCAGGGAAAGGCTCTACCCCAGCCCGACTCTTTGTCTAAATACCAGTAGAATGATTCTTGACCAGGCTTAATGGCTCTCCCAGCTTGATTTCCTTGTCCCGTTTAATTTGCCGTAAGACAGCCATGAGCGGAACTGTGCGTAGTGTCCGGACCGCTGGCCCTGCTGTGGGGAACGATTCAGCGAGCGGCCCGCTCCCACTCACCAGGCAGCTGGGCTGTGATTCCACCTAAGCCCGGCTGGAGATTGAGAGGTCAGACAGGTCTCTGCCTCCCACTGTATCGGTTGATTCATCGACGCTGAAACCCGGGTACCCTGGACGGATGAGGAAACCAAAGGTCCTGGATCAGCCCTCCCTGGTCCTGTGCACCTCGGGGCCACGTTGGGGGCACCAGGCCACCCATCCCCTGCCCTGTCTTCCATCTCCCTCTCTGAGGCCCTGGAAACGGGGTCTTTTGTCTGCTAGGCATCGTGACAGGGTAACCATGGAAACGACAATCCTGAGCCCTCAGAATAGACCATGATTTCTGCCTTTGATAGCACACTCTGTGGGGAGGAAGGTGGAGCCCAGGGCCCAGAGGTGTCTTAGGGACAGGGCGATGCCAGCTGGGCTCTCTGGGCGCAGATGGATCTGTGCTGTTGTGGAGAAGGCCCGTGGTCAAGGCTGTAGCAGGCTGGTCTCTTCCTCACCGTGTCCTTGCCACTTCCAGCCTGTAGAGGGCGCTGTGTCCCTTCCTCTCCTCACCTGTTCTGCCTGGGCCTTCCGGTCCCTGGGTCATGATGACCTGTGTTAACCCTAAGAACACCCCCAGTTCCAAGGTCCTTAGTCCAGTCCCATCCCTTCGAGGTCCCTTCTGCCACAGGCACAGGTTCCAGGGAGGAGGATGCTGACATCTTTGGGGCCATAATGATCTACCAAGTTGACAAACAGAGAAGACATTTGCCCAAGGTCACACAGCTAGGTGGCACCAAGTTAGCCTCTAAGAGTCTGCTGCCATCAACCCGAGGTCTTTCTCTTGAAATCTTGAATTGTGGGTGGGCCAAGCTCATTTGAAGCGGCTGTGTTGGGTAGACATGCAGGGCTCGCTCCCACTAAGGGTCTGCAGTGGAAGAGCAGCCTCAGTCTGGGCCTCACAAGTATGCGGGCAGAGCCAGGGCACAGCTCTGCAGAGGTGGGGACAGCCAGTGCAAAGGCCCTGCAGCTGGACCTGAAGGCCCACACAGCAGGAGCACAGTAGGGGGAGGTCAGGGGTATGGGTGGAGGGGGGCCTGTGAGAGCTTCCAGGCCACGCCAGAGCTTTGGTCTGCTCTGAAAGCTGTGAAGCCAAAGGGGCCTCTGAGTGGGCAGTGGCTTGGCCTGGTCCATCAGGGCTGCAAAATGAGGAAAAGAATTTCAGGGAGAGGAAAGGAAAAAATGAAACAGGAGCACTAGCAGATCCACTTGGGTGACTCTGGGCATCTCTGGGCTTTAGTTCTGTAGTCCCAGCATCCTGGTAGGCTCAGAGAAGTCAGGGGCTCTCCTGAGGTCACACAGCAACGTGGCCAAGCCACCCACTCCCAGCAGCCTGGCAGCAGATGTGTGTTGTGTCCTGGGCACTGCAGGGGTGCACTGGGGGTGGCAGGAGGGCTGTGGCCCAGTTAGAGAGGAGCTTGTCACCCTCAAGTGGGATCTTGAGCCTCAGTCCTGTGGGCACTGGGGAGCCATGGTGGAGCTGGGCTAAAGGAGGAAGCTGTCAGAGTTGTGAGGCTGGGAGGAGGCCTGGGGCTGTTGGAGGGGGCAGGGATCCATAGGGACAGATTCATGTGTCTTTTGGAAAAAAGTTGTATCAAGAATTTCTCTTTTTTTCCCCTCAAAATTTCATAGACCTATTTAAAAAGCAAAGTAAGAATTTTTAAAGATAATATTTTCAGGCCAATCAATATCCTTCCCACTTACCCTCTGTACCTCTGGCCCATTTGTCCTTAAAACCATCAAAAAGCCTCGCATCATGGCTCATGTCTGTTATCCCAGTACTCAGGGAGGCTGAAGCAGGAGGATTGCAAATTGGAGTTCAGTCTGGATAACCTAGTTGAGACTCTGCCTCAAAATAACCAAAATAGAACAGAAAGGGCTGACTTCAGTCCTCAGCGCCACCCCCACCACCAAAAAGGAAGGAGGGAGGGAAGGGAAGGTGGGTCTGTCAGAAATGCCCAAGTACAGCTGGGCAGGTGAGCCGCAGCCAGCCTGCCCTGCTGTCTGTTTTCACTTACAGGTTAGAGGTCCTCACAGTCTCCTCCTCCAGGTGTGGGGGGGACTCCCCAGTCACCCCAGCCCTGAGTGCCAGGTGTGCCTCACCCGCAAGGCATGCTGGGACTCAGGCCAGCCCTGGTGACTTGGGCCTGAGGAGCGGGGCCACCCCCAAGGTGGGTGCAGAGATGGCCCAGCTCAGAGGCGGGGATGCCAGCCGGGCCCAGAGGGGTCCCTGACACCCAGGTGGGTGCAGGTCCTGGTGAGACGCTGGGCCTCACTCTCTCGTGTCCACAGCAGCCCAGGTCCCGCTCTCTCAGGGTCTACCTCAGCCCTCCCGAGTGGGGCTGCTCTGCCCTTAAAAGCACTGAGCCCCACTTCTGAGGCCTCAGTTGCAGGGTGACAGGCCCTGGTTTGTCAGTGCAGAGTTTGGTGGGGAAGACGGGACCCAGCCCCACAGGGTCCAGGTACACAAATCTGCGGGCTCATAGCCCTCTGTCCTCCCCACGGGGCTCAGCCACGACCCTGGTACCCAGAGGATGTGGGTGGCTCCTCCGGTGGAGGCAGGAGCCTTTCCGGAAGCAGCTTCCTTTCCTCCCTGCTGGACTGAGGCAGTGGTGAGTCTGCGGGCCGGCTGGGGGTGCTGGATCTCCCTTCTTGCATGGAACCAGACTCTGTCTCCATGCACTCTGCCCAACTTTGGCCTCTGCATCTCAGTGGCTTGCACCATCCCTCGGCCTGGCCCACCAGGTCCTGTCAGGTAGCCCTCACATCCTTCCTCCCCTCTCACACCTGTGAGGGTCTAAACAACCCTCAGCCAAGCCGGCCTCAGGGCCTTTGCATGAGCTGCTCCTGCTACCTGGAGTGCTCCTTGCCCTGGGGTCACTGCCCGCAGGAGGGAGCCAGGGCTCCACCTGGAGACACAGAAGGGCTCCCGCTGCCCCATGGAGGGGAGCTGGCTGAGAATTGAGTCTACAAAAGTGAAAGGAACAGCATGGACCCTGGACAGGAAGGGAATGAGGAGGGGGGATCCCAGAGGAGAGGCTCAGGGCTGGGACCTGGAAACCAGGAGGGGCCAGCAGGGAGGGAAACTCAGAGCCCCGCTGCTCTGGTCAGCTCTCCGTGTCCTCATTTCTGGCCCGGAGACAGAATGCGCCCAGGCAGGGCTGCCCTGTGGTTGGTTTCCATGGGGACAGCTGAAGGGATCACCTGTGTTTAAGTCCAACACTGCTGGCCCCTTCTGTGGGGCTAATGCCTACCCCTGCAGGGCCTGGTCCCCGCCTGCTGCAGCCCCGGGCCACTGTGGGACACGCGTGACCAGGAAAGACAAGGCCGCCTCTCCTAGGGCTGGCCTCCACGTCACCAGGAGGGGGCAGCAGCGGGCAGCACAGCTGTGTAGCTCCGGGTTCAGTGAACCACTGCTTGTGGCTCTGAGGCCAAGGTGTGGCTTGTAGTTTTCTTGGCTATAAATGAGTAATGAGGGTATCAAATGACATTTTTATTCAGATAATCAAATATAAAACTGATAATCAAAATATACGGACTGTTGGAATAAAAAATGATGACGGTGAAAGTTGCATTGCCATGAATCCGTCAAAACAGTCCCCTCGCTCTGTGCCTTCTGCAGCAGCTCGAGAGCCCTCTTTCCTGCGTGTCTTAGGCGGCTTGATAAAAGCAGTGAATGCTGCTGCCGAGCGCCATGCAGCAGAAAGGCAGCTCGTAAAGACAGGGCGCTGCGTCCTTGTCCACCTTAGCCGTCGGCTCCGGCACCGTGTGACTCCGGCTCGTCCCCGAAGTCGAAATGACCATGACAGGGAAATGTTTGGAATCCACTTAGGACGTCGAGGCAGCCAGGACCGTGCAACTGGACACTCGCACAAGAGGACTCCAGAGCTGCTGCCAAAAGTGGCCGGAAGGACTCAGAGGGACTCGCGATAGTGAATTTTACTGTGATGCTTTTTTCAACGTTTACAGATGTTCACTGTATTTTTCGATCACGCTGCACACACAGGAAGAACTTGCAGACTCTGCCTCGGAGTAGAACACTGTTCCCCACACTGCTCCCTCCCCTGTGCAGGGCCACTTTTGGGCCAGGCCCCGAGAGGTTTTCTGTAGGTTTGATGAATGAATGCACAAGTGTACAGATGACAGCTGAACCCAGGGTGCGCACCTGGCCTGGGGCAGGGTGCGCTGGGGACATGTTGCTCTCTGTCTCCGCAGTCTTCGAGGAGCCCGAGGACCCCAGCAGCCGCTCCTTCTTCTCAGAGATCATCTCCTCGGTGTCAGATGTAAAGTTCAGCCACAGCGGCCGCTACATGCTCACGCGGGATTACCTCACGGTCAAGGTCTGGGACCTGAACATGGAGGCGAGGCCCATCGAGACCTACCAGGTGGGGCTCCAGGCCGCCGGTGAGCCAGGGCTCGGGAAGGGGGGGCAGTGGGGCCGGGTGGGGGCGCCTCCCTGGGGCCATGGTCCGGGATCGCAGCCCAGAGCCGTCTGAGCACTGCCCTTCTGAGGTGCACCCGCCAACAGCACCAGCAAGGGTGACGCAGGCGCACCCGTGTTTCCGGGTCCCCAGAACAGGCCCTTTCCTCACTGCAGGGGCCAGCATTATTCCTTACTCCTCTGTGTGGTCTCCTTCAGGGTGGGGTAAAAGAATTTGCATGGTGTTAGTGTAGCGCTCGGAGGCCAAGAGTGGTGGGAGGCTGAGGCAGGAGGAACCCGAGTTCAAGCCCAGCTGACACAGCTTGGCAACCTACAAGACACTGTCTCAAAGTTTTAAAAAGGGCTGGGAAGGGAGGGAGGTTTGAGACGACAGGAGCCAAGTCCTTTGCTTCCTGCAGGGGCCCAGGCAGGTCTGAGTCCTGGGGGAGGAGGGCCCAGGAAGGGACGCAGAGCTTCAGGTCTGGCATTCTGAGCCCATGACAGTGCCTGTGGCTGCTCTACCTCCCTGGGTCCTGGCAGGATGCCCACGCTGTGTCCCTCAGAGGCCTGAGCTGGGGGCGGGGACAGGATAAGTCCCATCCACGAGCCGGTGAACTGTGTGCGCTGTTGCAGACACGTGGAGGGGGCTCAACCTGTAAGGGCCCCAGGGTGGTGGGGACTCCATAAAGTGGGAGACTGAGGCTCGGGGCGGGGCCCTAAACCAGGCACCTGGTACCGTCCTGCAGCTGCACTGATCCTAAAGCAGAACGACAGTAGCCCAGCAACTCGCCTTTTGGGCTGACAGCATCTGCTAGAAACGGGGTGTGCGGGGCTGTGTGGCTGGCTTGGGCGCCTCTTCTCTCATCGCTAGAGGTCTGGGTGGGGCGGTCCAGGAACAGTGACTGGTGCGGCAGCGCCTTCTCGGGTGCGCCCTCTGCCGGGTAGGCCTTGGGTGCCCCTGCGTGGACGCGCCCACCGCTCACCCCCGGCCCCCGCAGGTGCACGATTACCTGCGCAGCAAGCTCTGCTCGCTCTACGAGAACGACTGCATCTTTGACAAGTTCGAGTGCGCGTGGAACGGCAGCGACAGGTAAGCCCCTCAGCTTGCCCACTGCCCCGTCTGGGGTCGGGCCGCCCCGTCATATGTGGGGACTCGTGGGGACTCCCGGCGCTAAATCCAGGGGCCGAAATTTCCTCGCCTCCTCTGCCGGGAATGGATGTAGGCAGCCCAAGCCCCTGGCCAAGTGGGCCTGTCGCCCGAGTCCTCAGGGGTGAGGGCTGCACCCCCACCTCAGGCTCCTCCGGGAAGCGAGTGGGTCACACTCGTCCCTGGCCCTGGGCCACACCACGAGCCCCGAGATGGCCCTGGGCACCCTCTCCTCCTGCTCTTACTGCTCCCACCTCTTGGAGGCAGCCCTGCGAGGGCCTCTGGGGCTCAGGGGTTATCACTGCGGGGCTCCTTCCTTGGCCGGCCAGGCTCTGCGCAGCCACTGGCCCCTCCAGCCCACTGAGCTCCATGTGGCCACAGCCCTGGTGGCTCCTAGCAGAGCCGTCACCACTCCCCGAGGTCCCTCCTGCACGTGTCCCTTGGCCCAGGGATTCTCACTCTGTCCCTGGGTCAGGAAATTCCTCCTCCGTCCGCACGATCTTCCACATCACTGAGCTTCTGCTCCGGCTGCAGGCAGACTCGAGGGTCAAATCCACTCCCTGATCCGCAGAGCCAAGATGGCCCCTCAGTGCTGCCTTCGGTCAGACACTTGAGTCCAGGAGGGTCTCACGGTGACAGGGAACAGGTCAGAACTACCAGGTCCCACAGCAGGTGGTGTGGCTGTGGTCCAGAGGAGACACCGTGCCAGGACCTGTATGGCCTTGGGTCTGAGCTGGAGCTGCAGGGGGAGGTGGGCAGGGACAGGGACAGGACCGGGAGGGGTCTCCAGGCAGAGCAGGGCTCACTCGGAGGGCTCCACCAGAGGACACTTAGGAACCCAGGACAGCCCTGCCTGAGGTGAGCTGGCCCCTGGGGACCCTCTCCTGCCCACAGGCTGCACCCACCCCGGGACCAGGGCTGTCACGAACTGGCGACACATAGCACTGTCCAGCAGTGCCTCAAACCTGAAAGAGCAGCGGAGTGGAGATGGGGCAGAGAGAAAGGAAGGACCCCAAGACAAGAGTCTGATCAAGGCGGCGTTTATTGCCGGCAAGCATCAGCCTTTTAAAGGAAAAGACCGAACTATTATGGGCTAGGATTACCATAGTAACCTCAACACCCGCTCCACGGGAACGAGGGTTCACACGGGCAAGAGAAAGCAGGCTCAAGAAAAACAAATTAACAACACTTGCAACTAATAATCATGATTCCCAAATAGGTGGAGGAACTTAACAAAATGGAGTTACAACATCTGACTCCTATAGATAACGTCAGATCTTTAACAGGAAGCACCTGACTCCTACAGATCTTTGGCTGTCCGAGTTTCTCCCGTGCAGGGTCAAAACAAGTTTAACCGGTGCAGTCCTTAAAAAGGAACAAATGTTATCTTTCAAAAAGCCAGTGGGCCATGGCTGGCTTCCCACACAGGGCCCCTCAGAATCTCAGGCTGGACCCCTGCATGTCTGGGGCTCCACTGTGAACACTGGGAGGTGGTCTGCAGGTCCTGTTGGAACCACAGGCAGGGGACTCAGAGGCTGTAAAACGATGCCTCCAGTCCAGCTATTACGACTGTCTTGAGGGCCAGATCCCCATGGCTGCCACCCTTCCTTGCATTGCCACCAGGGGGCGCACGTGACCAGGCAGTGCTGCGCTCCTGTGCCTGAATGAGCCCCTGTGAGTGCTCACCTGGAAGGGTGTCCAGGTAACCTGGCCTCTGCTGCTGGTTACAGGTCCCTGTTGGCAGTGGATGCTGGGAGGCCTGTGGTCTCCCCGTCACCTGTCCAGCATCCTGCCACCCTCCAGGGTGTGTGGATCGGCTGTGTGGGAGAGAGAAAGGGGCCTGGGTCTTGCCCTGCCCTGTGCCTGCCCATCTTGAAGTGGGCACAGGAGAAGGAAGCCCGAGTGGTTCAGGTGTCTGACTTCCGGGCTTCCTGTGACCGTGATGGTTCCTCAATTCTGCAGCCCTGGCTGCCCTAGCCTGCACCTGCTGGGCAGGAACATTTGGGGCCAAATGCAGTGGGCCCCTCTTGCCCAGGCAGCCCCATTTCACTGGCCTCAGCTCTCTCCAGTGTGGCTCTCACGGAGCCGTGGCTGCCAGGATGATCTCGTGGGTGTTGTGTGCACAGGGTGCCTGCTGTATTGTTACTGTCGCACCCTTGGGTTCATTGCCCTCGCCTCCCTGTCTCCACCCAGTCTCCATCCTGAGCCCTGATGAAGGCCTTGGGCCTCTGCCTGGGCCTGAAGGCAGCCTCTGGGCACCCAGCAGCTCTCAGGTGGGCCTGGGACCCCCAGATGGGCTCATCCCAGGTCCTCCCTCACCTGTGGGCTTTCGCTGCCTCGGCTCCCTGCTCCTGCGCTGGGTGGGCACATGGTAGTGGGGTCTCTAGGTCATCGCCCCACCGAGGTGACAGGGAGCAGGGAGCAAGCCCAGGGAGGCAGATGCAGGAGGGAGCACCCAAGGCCCGGGCAGTGCGGGGTGGGGGACCTTCATACCCGCTGGGCGCCCCCTGCAGGCTCTCCGGGGTGACTTCCATCATCTCTGCAGCACACGGGCTCTTCCATGCATTAGGGTTTTAGGGGTGAATGTGAGAGCCGAGAAGCGGAGCCCAAACACATCAGAACTCCTCCTCCAGCAGGGAGGTCGTGCTCTCTGGGAGGGCTTCGTCTCTCCGCCTGTTCCCAGTTCAGGTTGGCCGGGCTAAGCGTTCCCCACCCTGCTAGGGTCTCTGTGGTGGTGGTGGCTGCCGCGTGGCCCTGGCCCACATCCCTTCCTCCCTTTCCTTCCCTCCTTCTGCTCAGGGTCGCCCGCAGAGTGGGGCTCAGCTTCCTGAGAGGCCCGAGGGGACAGGCCCCCTTCCCCTCACGCCCGGCCCCACGCTGCCCTGGAACCTGAGGCCGCCGGAGCCCTTCGCTGCCCTGTCCTCCTCCCAGGCCCAGCCACAGGGACGCTTACTGCTCCTGTCACCCGGTGGGAGCGGCTCGGGGTGGGTGGTCTGTGGGGCCTTTGAAGACCACCATGGCCATGAGTGACCTTTCACGTGACTGCTCGCGGACGCGGCCCGGGGCCCTCAGAGACCTGCCCCGGCCCCCACGGGGTCACTCCCCGGCAACCCCAGTGCTGTTTCCTCAGGTGGAGAAGCCAGGGCCGGTTCCTGCACAAGGGGTGGTGGTGGTAGAGCCGAAGGCCCCGAGTCTGAGTGGCAGCGGCGGCTGTGACCGGGGCTCCCCAGCCCCGTCTCTCTGTCCCCTGCACTGACGCCTGTCCCTCTCCCACAGTGTCATCATGACCGGGGCTTACAACAACTTCTTCCGCATGTTCGACCGCAACAGCAAGCGGGACGTGACCCTCGAGGCGTCACGGGAGAGCAGCAAGCCCCGGGCCGTGCTCAAGCCGCGGCGCGTGTGCGTGGGCAGCAAGCGGCGGCGTGATGACATCAGCGTGGACAGCTTGGACTTCACCAAGAAGATCCTGCACACGGCTTGGCACCCGGCCGAGAACATCATTGCCATCGCCGCCACCAACAACCTCTACATCTTCCAGGACAAGGTCAACTCCGACATGCACTAGGGCCCCGTCACACCTGCCACGTGGGAGGAGGCCGCCGTGGGGACACAGGGCGCCTGGGCCTTGCCCCGCCCTGCCAGCCTCAGCAGGCTAAGGTGGCCTTGGATGGCCATGATCTGTTTAACAAAGGGAGAGGTGCACAGGCACAAGGCACCAAATGGCCGTGGTCACGGAGCGGCACTGTTTGGGTTCTTGGCATGCACTGTGCTCTGTCCATCTCGGCTGCCGTCTTCCCCGACTCTTCACTGTCCATGCGGCCGGTCCTTTCAGAGGAAGCTGGAGCTGGTCCTGATGGGGGACAGAGACCGGAGGTGGCATGGGCCAGCTAGGGGCTTCGACGAGAGTGGGCCACTTGCCTGGCCTCGGGGCTGGTCCCGCCTGGGCTTTCTGGGTGGGAGTTTGTGATCTGTGCAGGTCCCACCCCGGGGTAGGTTCCCAAGAGGAAGGGTGGGGCCCTACTCGTGTGCCAGTCCCCTTGCCTCGTTGCCCCCCTTGCTGAGCGGCTGTGGCACCTGGGCAGGGTGCATCCACCGGATTCCTGCAGCCTGGCCCCCGACAGCCACTCCTTTCTCCTCCCCCAGGACTCTGGCTCCTGCCTGTGGCTGTCACGTGGTATCTGTTCCACTCCCTAAACAACGGCTGTCCTTGGGTGCCGGCCCTGCACTGGGGACCAGCACAGAGGGTGAAGAATGATTGTCCCCACTGTACATGAGAGGAAACCGAGGCTCTGGTGGTGGTTGTCACGATCAGGGGTGCTATCCCCGCTCCACGCAGGCCCCAGTGGCGCACATTAACCCGACACTGAAGGGCGCCGTCCCCTCACTCGCACCTTGATGACAAGGGATGACACAGAGGGAGAGGGAGATGGAGAAGCCGTGTTTGGTGATGTCAGGATGTCCCTTCCCGAGGACGTCACCTCAGGACCGAAGGCCTCGGGTCCTTCTGCAGCCATGCCGCACTGCCCCCGAGAGGAAACGCATGTCCTGACCGTTGTGGGGTGTATTCTCTGGGGACCACACACGCTCATTAGGGGCCCTCCCCACACCCCGACACTGAGGGCCCCAGAGATGTGTCTGCAGAGTCCTGCTGGCGACACTGGACTCTACCCGGTGTCATCTGGCCCGGGGCACAGCAGGGGAGTCAGGCAGCTTGGGCCTGGGCTCCGGGCGGAGTGCAGCAGGCCAGGCTGAGGAAATGGGCCCGAGGGGTCCGGGGCACCCGTGGACTTGTGTGTGTAAAAGCACAAAGCGCATGTGCACTTACTCCTGGCCATATTCCACTTACACACCAGTGGGTCCCTTGAGTTTTTCTTTTTAATCAACGTGAATGAAGAGTGTCTGTTTATAGTAGCGCTGTAAAATCCAGGTGACCTGGACAGTATTATATGTACATATCTACCTTATTAAACTTTACAGTCATGAGATCGTACGACTTTACCCCCTGAGGATGTGGTGAATTGTACAGAAATCTTGCTGAAGCCAAAACCCAGCTCTGAGGGCCTTAAACGCTTGCTGGGGTCTTCGGCGCCAGCGTCTCCCTTTGTGATCCCGACATCCGGAGAGGAAACTTGAGTTGGAAGCGAGGAGTTCCATGAAACCGTAGGTTTAGCATTAACCGTCTTCAGAGCAGCGGTCTTATGGCCTTCGAAGGGGGTCTCGCACAGTTCCTACTTCCTGACTTGTTTTAAACTTTGGGTACCAAACCAAAAAGGGGGTTGGGGAGGGAAAGAAAAAGAGCTCCGAAGAAAAATGCGTCTTGAGGTCCCTGGAAGAGAACTGCCCAGAGTGGCTGTGGACAGTGGACTGAGTGCGGAAAACATGCGAGGGGCGAGGCTGCTGCGGTCACTCCCTTCCCTGTGTCTGCCTCTGGTCTTCTTGGGTGTTGGGCGTGTGCTTCGTGGTCGTGCTGTGGGGGTTTGGTTATTTCTTCCCCTTGGGCTGCTCTCCGAGGGCGGAGCCCTGGGGAAGGGAAGTGGGTGGCGTAGGTCCGGGTTTGGATTCTGTAACACTAGGTGCATTCTTTCTTTCTCGGGCGTCTCTCCGATTATCCAACTGTTGAATAAAATTATAAATATGTTAATACCAGCTTTTTTCCAATAAAATAACAAATGTTACATCTAACCCGAGGCCCAGAATGCTGTTTGGTGAGGCCGACCCCAGGGGCAGAGCCTGTCCTGGGTGTTGGTCACATGTGGGCTCTGCAGAGCCGCCTGGCTCCAATGGGGCCTTGCTGCCTCCCGGCCTCGGGGCCCTGGGGTCCCCCACCCAGTGGAGAGAAGCCAGGGCACCCGGTCAGTTTAGGAAGCCAGAGAGGCCCGGCCTTGCCTGCTGGTGAACAGGACTGAGGGGAGGGCTGTCACCCACCCCTGGGTCCCTGCGCCTCACCTCGCGAGTCCCCAGGACAGCTGGAGGGAGAAGTTGCTGACTCTGGCCCCCAGCTCACCTCTGACCTGCAGGTGCAGACAGCACAAGACTCCTCCTTGCCCCCCAGTGACGAATGAGGCTGTGCTGTGCTGTGGGACACCACACACTCAGGGGAGGTGTCACCTTGCTTAGGCGTCCCAAGATCCTCCTGGCAGGGAAAAGGGAGAGCAACCTCCCCCAATTTTATTGATGGAGAAACAGGCTGAGAGATGAAGTAAGTAATTTGGGCCTAAATTCAAAGAACTAGGAAGTGGTGGGGTCAGGCTTCAAACCACAGTGGTAACAGGGACCACACGCAGCAAGAGCTTGGGACTGTGACAGGCACTGTGGCCCCAGCTACCCAAATCCAGCTTCAGCCAGTGCTGACAGAGCTGACTCAATTATGTGAATGTGTTTGTCCTGGATTTCCGGGTGCAGCCCTGCCTGACCCCACAAGTCCCACAGAGAGCAGAGCCGACCCTGCTGTGTTTGGAGGGAGATGGCACAGCAGGGAGAGGACCAGGGTGTGATGTGGGGTTCCCAGGCTCTGAAGATGGGGGAACCCAGGTCCTCTAGGAGCCAGGCAAGGCCGGGGAACAGATTCTCCTGAGAGCCTAGAAAGCTCGGTCCTGTCACTCGACCTTGGCCCAGAGACCCCTGTCACTCTGACCACCGGGCTGGACGATAATAAATGTGTGTTCTTTGAAGCCACTGGGTTTGTGGTCCTTTGTCTTGGCTGCCCCAAAGATGTACGACAGCCCTCGGTACGTGCTTCCTCACCCGTAGCTGCCCCTTTAGGAGAGGGTGCCTGTCCCCATTTCCAGAGAGGAGCTCAGAGTGGCCCAAGTACTTGCCCCGAGTCACAGCGCAGGAGCTTGTGTGGCAGGGAAGGTGGAATGTGTCTCCGGTGAAAATTGAGTTTCCTAAAGGGCACAAGGATAGGACCCTACTGGGGGCTCCTGGCGGTGGGACTGCAGGGGAGCAGGCACAGGGTTGGCCGGGCTGCTCCGCACCAGCTGTGGTCCGGCCAGGGGAGGGTGCAGGTGACTGCAGGAAGCAGTGCTCAAGCCTGGACTCCCTGCCCTCGACGCTGACAGGTGGGTGACACCTTGGGTTCCCAAGAGGAACAAAAACAACGGGAAAAAAATAATAAAATATATATCTCCAGCTCACAGGAGGTGAGGCAGAAAAGTCCAAAGTGGCCTTCTGCGCGTTGGATATCCATTAGCGGCTCAGCCCGAGAAGCTGACGCCACAGGACAAGAGGGGCCAGTCCGAGGCTGCTGGCCTGGGAGCTCCCTGGGGAGCCGCTGGTGTGAGTCTGCTTTGCAGGTCTGGAGAAGCTGGGGTCCGGGGTCCACAAGGTGACGGCAGCAAAAGATGCCCAGGCCCCGCAGAAGGGAATTTCCTCCTTCCTGTTCATTCCATCTGGCTGCAAGCCGATTGGATGGAGCCACTCCCATCAGGGTTTGCCTTCCCCTCCATTTGCTAGCCCATGTGCCAATCATGTCTGGAACCACCCATGCACCCACCCGGAAGTGTTCTTTACTAACCTGAGTGAGTGTCTCAACCCAGTAAGTTGACGTCGTGATTGACAGTCACATCCCTGGAAACGTAACTGGGTTCACAATTCTCCCCAGAGTCCCCAAGACACACTGGTGGCCCTCAGTGACCTGCACTTACCTGTCCTTGCACAGTGTGTGATTACAGTAGGAACAGGACACCGCTGAGCCATGAGCAATACTGAGCGCTCCATGCGCTGCCCATTCACCTGCACAGTCTCCCCAGACATGGGGCGCTCTAATTCTCCCCACCTCACACAGGAGGGTGTCTCACTGGGGCCTCACTCGGGACGCTGGGCTGGGTTCTGCCCACAGAGCCCAAGGTCATAGTTACCAAACGGTCCCAGGCCCTCAGGCCACCAGGGTCCTTCAGGTCCCCGCAGGTGCGCTTCTTCTGAGGGATACTGCTGGCCACTGTCCAGGTCCTCCTCCCTACCTCCTGCATCTACTGTACCCTTTGCTCCCCAGGAAACTCCTGGGCTGGGAACCCCCAGCCCCCTTCCCAGGCTGGGGCAGGGGCCACTGACTCCAGGCCCCCACCTCTTCAGTGTCACAGCACGAGTCACAATGCTGCCTGTCCCTGGCCAGAGACCGCCTCCACTCCCCGCTGTCTCTGCCCAGCCCAACCTGGCGCTGACTCCCCACAGGAGCTTGCTGAGCAAGGCCTGTCTGGACCATTTGGCCCTTGTGGGTGGCCCCGAGGCCCTGGTGCACGTCCCAGACTGAACCTTCCTGTGCCCAACCCCTCACTTCTGAGGGCCACTGTGGGGTCAGCCAAGGGATGAGCCAGAAAGCCACAAGGCCAGGGGAAGGGGCAGGAATAACAGCATGCAGGGACAGTGGTTTTGAGGCAGCAGAGCTCAGCAGTCAGGGAGGGACAGCAGAGGACCCCAGGGGGGCTCTGCACCTGGCACCGGGCCCTGAAGATGGGGTACAGGAGGGGAAGCTGCACTTTTCCAAGAACCAGCCTCAGCAGCCGGCTGTCCCCGCAGGAGGAGGGTGGCTTGTGCACTAGGGATGGTGCTGGGGGCCTCGGAACCGAGGAGAAGCTGGGCACCAAGCATCGGTAATGCCTGCTGCTGTGCCAAGGTGCAGAAGAAGGCTCCCCACTGGGACCCCGAGACCCTAACTCGGGCATCTGGAAGACCCACTAGGATGTGCTGGTCCAAAGCATCCGGGGGGGAAGCAGCCTGGGATCAGCATCCCTCCCTCCCTGCACGGCTCACAGCTTTCCGGGCAGTCTGGGGGCAGCAGCTTTGGACAAGATAAAGATGAAACCAAGCCAATAAAACAGGACAAACAGGAACAGGAACCTTCAGATGTGTGCAGTAATTGAATAAAGGTTTTCTAAAATATTATAATAAATGTCCATACGAGATGACAGGAAACGTTCAAAGAATAGAAAGAAACCACGGGAACAGGAAGGGTGATTGCAGAACCAGAGATTTCTCCACAGATTGGAAGAAAAAATTTAGGAAATTTCTCAGGATGTAGACTTCTATTTTACTTTTTGGGGTACCAGGGATTGAACTTGGGAGGCGGCAGAACCACTGAGCTAAATCCCTGGCCCAGGACGTAAATTTTTAAAAATGAAAGAGAATCTCAGAGGGAAGAGAGCCTGTCAGTGCTCTTAAGGAGCAAAGGGGAAGAAGTCAGGAAGACAAAAGCAGAGAGGGTGGAGGCCAGGAAGTGATGAGAAATGACTGGGCCTGAGGAGTCAACACCTCCACATGGAAAGAGGCCACTGTGTTGAGCATAGTGGCTGGGACAGCAGTGCAACGGCCACGCGACCAACCTCAGCCCACTGTGACAATGAGGGCACCGTGGGAGATTGCCCAGCAGAATCAGAATCCACACGTGCTTCCCAGGGCAAGGAGGGAGGCTAGAAGTCGAGGAAGCACTGCTCTCAGGGTCTATGTAGGACTCCTTCTAACCCAGGATCTGAACCCATCAGCTTGTGTGTGAGGGAAATAAAGACCTTTTCACACACGCACAGTCTTGTGTCCATTAGCTTCTGCTGTACAACAAACCACTCCCACAATTTAGTGGCTTAAGAAAACATTAAGCATTTGCTATGTCTCACCGTTCTTATCTCAATTCGAATGTTCTAGAATGGCCTCCCTGGCACCTGTGAGGTTGGCTCGAGGTCCAGCTGGGCAACCCGGCTGCCATCACCCACACCTCAGGTCACCTGCACGCGCTCTTCACATGACGCCTAGCATCTCCAAGAGCAGCAGGACAAGCACAAGACACGTGTGCTTCTTAGGCCTCTGCTTATGTCGCATGTACTGCTGTCCCACTGGCCAAACAAGTCCCGAGGCTCAGGCTAGCATCAGTGTGGAGGAGCCCACCCAAGGGGAGGAATGCATGCTGGGAAGTTTTTGAAACTCCTCCCATCAATGCATGCACCATTTTTCAGGAAGCCACAGAAGCTGCATCCACCAAGGTGAAGGAAGAATCCAGGAAGGAAGAAAATATCACAGAAGGGACTCCTGGTTGTCCCCACTGGGACATTCCCTCATCATGTATCGACAGGGCTGTCATCTGGCCATAGGACCATGCACAAGGGCTTCATTTCCCAGCCTTCCCTGGGGCCAGGCATGGCCAATGGAAAGCAGATGGTCTGGGTGGCTCCCAGAGTTGCTCTGAGAGAACTGACTCATACCTTGGCCCTTTGACCTCATGCTTTTGCCCTTTGACCCTTGACACTGGCTAGACTAGGGACACAACTGTGGAGGCTGCAGCGACTTTTAGAGCTCCAGAGGGAAACATGGGTCTAAGAGAGCAGCAAGATGGGAGAAACCCATGTTGAGCTGGTGCAGTTGGCTTGGCTGGAGAACTTATGTTGGCCTGAGAGAAAAGGAAATCTACTTTGCTTAAACCAGTGCATTGGGCTCTGTGCCAGAGCAGCCTGACTTGTTTTCCAGTGAATATACATAGCATCCCTGAAACCTGGATGCAGCATAGAAGATGCAAAAGATGCCAAGGAGAGGAACAGGAGGTACCGGGGGACAGCTGGGGAAGAGCAACTGAAAGCCAATTGGTCCAGAGCGACAGGAAGGTGGGGAGTTTGGCAGAGGGGGCCTAGGGGTGCAAAGTCACAGACTGAGCACTCACTTCTCCGTTTTCGAGGATTGAGGGTTTATGACA